TCCTTCTCTTTCTTTCTTCTTTCTTTCTTTCTTTTCCTTCCTTCCTTCCCTTCCCTTCTCCTTCCTTCCTTCCTTCCTTCCTTCCTTTCTCTCCCTTCCTTCCTTCCTCTGTCCCCCTCCCTCTCCCTTTCTCCCTCTCCCTCCCTCCCTCTCTCCCTCCTTCTCTCTCTCTCTCTCTCTTTCTTTCTTTCTTTCTTTCTTTCTCTCTTTCTTTCTTTCTTTTTCTCTCTCTCCTTTCCTTCTTTTCTTTCTTTCTCTTTCCTTTCTTTCTTTCTCTTTCTTTCCTTCTTTCTTTCTTCTTTTTCCTTTCTTTCTTTTCCTTCCTTCCTTCCCTTCCCTTCTCCTTCCTTCCCTTCCCTTCTCCTTCCTTCCTTCCATCCTTCCTTCCTTCCCTCCTCCCTCCCTCTCTCCCTCCCTCCCTCCATCCCTCTCTCTCTCTCTCTCTCTCTTTCTTTTCTTTCTTGCTTTCTCTTTGTTTTGCTACTGCTTTTTGAGATGTCAAAACACACTTAAATAGTTGTTGATAGTTGGTCCTTATTTTTCAGTACTTTCCTTTCCCTTTAATGCTAAACTGAAGGTTGGATCACTAGAGGGTTGGTTGATAGATATATTCTACCCAAGATTATCACCTCAGGATAAGTTTATAAAGCTTATTATGTGAATAGCCATATTTCTTCCACCTGAAAACAAAGCTTTAGAAAAAAACTTAGCATTCCCTATAGGAAGATTTGTACCACTTGCTGTTTATCACATATTATTCTAGATGCCTTGCAAATGTTGACACATTTAAACCTCTTAACAATATTATGAAGAACCTATGAAGACATTGGAGCCCATGGCGCTTAAGTTACTCATTCAAGGTCATACAACTATTGAGTGATAGAGAGCCCAGGCAATCTGACTCCAGATATGTGTCCATAACCGAAGGCATTAGGCTGAATTAGTGTGTTGGAGATCATTTAAAAAACAACATCTCAAATGAAGAGTTGCTTAATTTTGGTGGGAATAATCTTAATTAGGATTTACTTGTTCATTGGACACATACCCTTGTGCTTGTAAGGCTTCCAAGAAGAGATTCAGGAGAGGTTTAGGTCACAAGAGATATAACTTAGCAATAATTTAGAGTTGGTGGAAATCTAGTAATGCTCCTCCAACATTGCCGGCAACATACCCACCAAAAGTATGCAAAAGTATGCAAACCTTGGTTCTCTGTTACAAATGACAAAATGCTTTTGAACTTTCATACTTTATCTTATGTTTTTGAATTTTGCATATGATAATGCTTTAATATGAAAATCATGTTTTAAGTTACTCCTCATTGAATAAAACTAATTATCCAAGAGATCAGCTGCCACAGTCTTTTGAAGATTGGAGTGGCTCCTGGCACATTGTACCAATCGCACCTGGAGAAACCTAGCTCCATAGAATACTTTTGGAAGACCATGGGGTGTTTATTCTTCTTTGTCTACTCTTTGTGCACTACTGCTCAGGCACTCCATACCAGCCAGAATTTGGTTGCCTAGTTCTAAATAAAATGTTAAGAAGAGGGCTCCATATGAGAAACTGTGTACACTAAATAGGTTTAGTGAAGTCATCCAATGGTCCTTCTTTAACTCATGCCAGTAGTCGCAGTATCAAAAGTCTAAAGAGATTAACGAGGTAACTTGAATGAATGAAATAGGTCAGGTATGCATATTATAGGAAATGTCGGAGACTCAGATAAATGGAGGGCATGTGTACTATTTAATGTGAGATGAAGTACATACCTTCAACCCACTAAGAATGGGGATCAGGTCACCTCATGTTTTGATCTTTAAAAAATTAGAGAAGCAATTTAAATTATTATCTGAATTTTTTTTGATTTTGGTAAAAAGTTCAGTTTTATAAAATATGTAGACAACCAAATGAGTTTCAGACCTATATGTTGTATCATCTTTCAGTAAAGGTAACACCATTTATGTTGCACAGTTGTGTATGTCGTTGATTGTTGAGTAGGCACACCCTGGTTGCATGTGTGTCAGGGAAAGGGTGAGAAGAGAAACTTTTGTCCTCTGATCATCTTAAAGTTTTTGTTTCCATCTACTTACAAGTCCCAAGAGGAGAATTAGGATGTCGCTTTCTGAACATGTTTATGGTATCATCCTCTGAGGAACATACATTTCTTTTGTTCTCTCTCCGATGGAAAAATGGAACAACTTTTTCCCATCCTCTGAAAAGTTCTCTGTATGTTGAAATAGTTATTAAGGCTCTCTTTGTTCATGTTTTTGCTTTCGTTAGACAAAATAAACACAAATCCTAAAGTATTTGTTTAAAGATTTCTTTTCTTCTTACTTTTTAATTATTTTCACTGTAGAACTATGGACCTTCTTCAAGTTTCCCATAGCTTGCTTATTACATGGTTGCTCTGGAATAACTTGTCCTCATAACCGTTTAGCCAAAGCTAAATATGAAGAGAACATTATTTGCAGTTATATTTTATGTCTTTGTGTTATTTTCAAACAGCATTGCATTTCTGACTGATATGTAACTTATAATCTGCTGCAATCCCTATATCATTCCTATTATATTTATGCATAACCAGTTATTTATTTTTGTCCCATAATTTGTAACTTTAACTGCCTTATAATTCATCTTAAATACTTTCTTTTCTGTATTTTTTTTCCATTCTGTGTCCAGAATGTTGGAGCTTATACTACATGGTGTCCAATACATAATAGGTGCTTAAGGCAGGTATAATGAATGAAATAACTAAACCAAGATTAGGCAATATATCCCACAATAACTTTTATTGGCTCTAACACAATATAGATTTATTGAACCTAGTAAAATCTAGTAGAAACTTTTTCCATACTTGACCAAATGTTTGGACTTTATCTAGAGAAAGATCTTTGTTTAAGCCTTGGCTCTTGCTTCTTATTAGCTATTTAGTTTGGAAAAATCATTCAAGTTCTCTAAGCCTTTGTTTTCTCCTCTAGAAAATGTATATAATAATAGCTATCTTTAAAGCTATTATGACATTTATACAAGATATTGTATGTAAAATGCTTAAAAGTCTTCTTGGTACATAGTGAATTCCCACAAAAATGCTGACTCATAAGAAAATGTAACACCCAAACCACTATATATGGATAAGTTAAAGAGGGGGATGTTTTTCTCAGCTCCTGTTTTCCCTTCTGAAAGGATTTATGATGGAAATTATTCTTGGATGCTTAAGAATTCTTCTTCAAGGTATTCTCTATTGATACTTAACTTTCTCATCTTTCTTGTCAAATTGAATGCATAGTACACTTGTTTAGTCCCAGAAAATACTTACTACAAAATGTTAAGACTTCAAAATTAGCAGCAGCATCAGTTTCATCTTTTCCTATTATCTTGAGATAAGATGATAGAAAAAAAGATAAGAATCTAAATGGCAAGAAGATCCCACTGATGCAACAAAATAAATGTATACCTGCCATTGAAATACTTCAGAGAAGAATAAAATTTTGGGAATTCAGTGAAGAGGGATGGTACCTTTGGAAAAAAGGAATCAGGTCTTATACAGAGTGTGTGCCCGAGGAGATATAGGGTAAATGTCTCTTGGGTGATGATGACAGAGATGGGGGTGATGATGGCAGAACTGGTAGTGTTGATGATATGGATGAGTTACCATAACACGGAAAAGAGGGCTTGGCCACTACAGTAACAACAGAGTATTAGATATTCCAGTGAGTATCTGACTATGGCAAAGCTTTAGGAATGTAAAAGAGGAAATGGCAGTTCAGAAGTGACTCACAGCAACGTGAAAATAACAAACCGACAGACTGCATGGATGCTAAAATTCACAATTTAAAAATGGCCACCTGACACTCATGCCTCAGCAGATGTTGTAGTTTAAAGTGAAGATTTACAGTTTCTTTGGCAGGAAGTGAGTTGCTCAGGAAAAGGATTTTTATAAGACTTCTTAATTGTCATCAAATGATAGGATTTAGGGATGGCATTTGTTAACACAAGTTGCTATAAGGTGGTAACTCACACAAAGTTTACGTTAAGCTTAGGATTCACAATGCAGATTTTCAAAATCCAGATAACCTTGCAAGGCGATTTTCATTTTCAGCCACTGTAGAACATTATTTCCTACTCAGAACAACTTCAAAATTGTATGTTCCAGGGACACACTGAATTTTATTTTTACACCTTTCTAGTTTTACCTACACTAGGAAAATGGTCGTTAATGTGAGACAAATAAAAATCAGAAGATTCTGGTGTTATTACTCTTATTGTTAAGCTCATTCTCGGATTACATTTTTTTTTCATAAAAAGCACAACACCCTTAAAATTATAATGTACCAGTGGCCCTAATATTTGGAGAGCCAAATTGTATGTGGATCCACTTGGGATAATTGTGTATGCAAGTGCCTGGAAAAATAGTGAAACTGAAACCAGTTTAAGAATCAAATTGCAAAATTTTGTTTTGGTTCTACCATTCATTATCTGTGTGTCATTTGTTAGGCAAATACTTTGAGTCTCACTTCTCCCTTTAGTTAAATGGGAATGATTTCACAATGGCTTCACAGTGCTGTTTGATAGGACAAAGGAAATAATGTAAGGTCAATGAAAACCACAAGGGTTGACCAAACATACATAAGGCACTACTATTACTAGCTACTAATACTACTTCTACTACTGTTATTACTGTTATTACTGCTATTATAACTGCTGCCACCATCACTAACAGCATTACTTTCATCTTGGGTTTGCTTTGAGTAGCTATTTCTTATCCTGGATTTGAAGATGAGTAATATATAGATATACGACATATATACTATATTCCTCTGATACCTGTATAATTAAAACAGTGGAAGATAAGGTAAAACATAGTAATATGCTTTTACATATTTAGTTTTAATAAAATACACATCAATTGTAAAAAAGGGTCAAAAATAATACGAAATTACGATGTAAAAAGTGAAGTATATGAATAAATAAACAGAGGACTCTCTTCTGTTATCTTTTCCCAGTTCCATTCCCCAGAGGTTATTCAGTCTATACTTTTTCAGTGTACGTCTCTCAAGGCTGGTTGTTTCGGGAATGAAATAAGTACATCTTGGATGTAAACACTGTTCCAGCTATGCAAGTGTCTACACAAGCAAGTAAGTCAGCAAGTTAGTCTTCAAATACTTTGGCTTCTAGTGGGAAGACAAACTATCTTAAAACATCATCAATAACAAATAAATTTTGAGTGCCTGTTACCTACAGGGCGGAGTACTGGTTACACTGGGAAGTACGGATTCTCAGCTTTCCTTTTTGTTAACCTTCATACAGGCTGTTGTTCTCTTCTATCTATATTCAGCACATAGCGTCACTCTTTATTTTAAATAGATTTTCAGCTTATCTCACAGCTCCGAGTTTATAATTTATTTCTTCTGAAATGTGTTTCTTATGACATATAGAGAGTCACTGATTTCAGTAATCCCCATATACCTGAGTTCTTTTGCAGGTTGCCCAAACAGAGTGAATAGCATCTGTTTTAAATGGAGTGGCTGGAGCTCTGAGTGAAAGACAGGATCCCATAGGCAGGTATGTAAATGGGCCTGCCACAGATGGCCTAATTTTGGCTAGATTGGGATAAAATCTGGTTTCTGATACTAGGGTTATGTATGGCTGGCACAGGTGAGGGCATAGAGGGATGCTGGGCCAAGAAGATGTAAAAACATGCTTTAACTTAAAATTAGAGCCTAAACATTTCTCCATGTACATTTAAATGATTTTACAAGAGTCAAGAATATGCTATAATTACCCTGACCATTTACCATTGTGCATTATATTATTTCCAGTATTGTGTTATGAATAATGGCTGTAAGGAATGCCTTTGGGTATACATGTTTCTTCACATTTATACTCATTTCTTTAGAATAGAATCCCTAAGGTAGAAGTTCAAGTCAAAGGTTATAAAAATGGTAATGACATAGTTACAATTTTTATATCACCTAACTACGAGACCACAACAATTTAACTCACAACATTAATGCTTGAGATGGCCTGTCTCATGGGTTCCTCCTCCCCACCCCACCCCCTGCAGATTCTTCTTTAATCTCTGCTAATTTGACAGGAACAGAAAGGGGATTGTACTCCCATTTTCTTGATTGCCATGTCTATTGAATACTACTATTTCTTCCTTTGTGAATCGCTGATTGGTATGGAAATCTTCTTACAAACCTTAATAATTTGTATGAGCTTTTTATATAGAAATGATCTCAATCCATTGTGATACTTATTGGAATATTGTTTCCAGTTTATTTTTGCCTTTTAATTTGAATTATATTTCATTTATAGAATAACAAGTATTTTATGAGAATATAAACCAAAAATAAAATTCTAAGCCCTGCCAACTGACTGAATGGACCCCTCTTCTTGGCCAAGGGTATTCCAAAGTTAACCTGAAAAACTAGTTTAGGCCATGATGGAAAGTGGAGGTCAGACATGCCACATTATACTCTCCTCCCTTGGGAATTCAGGCACCGTGACCTACCAGCATTGACATTACAAAAGAAATCTTAAGACTGATGAAACAGACTCTTTGTAGCAATGACACCAAATTCCATCCTGACTAGTAAAACATCACATGACAGATAACAGGCCCTGAAAAGAATCAAAGTATGTTACCCCAAAATATATTTCTTTGACGTATTTTTAAAAGGTCCTTCAAAGCTGTCAGAATCAGGAGAGTGGAGCACCCTTTAAGGTTCACTAATAAGAAATTTACCATCTATGTCTCTGAAGCCGAATAGCTGGAGGTTTCATCTACATAATAAGAACCTTGATTTCTACAACCCCACTTATCTTAACCCAAGTATCTCTTTCTGCTGATTTCAATTCTTCAGGCAAAGCAACTCTTTCAAAGATTTGCCAATCAGGAAATCTTTGAATCCATCTATGACCTGGAACACCCCCTTCCCTCCCATTCCTGCTTTGAGATGTCCTGCCCCTCCAGGCTGAACCAATATACACCAACATATATTGATTGATACCTGTCTGTAACTTCTGCCCACCTAAAATGTATAAAATCAAGCTGTGACCCAACCTTCTCAGGACCTTCTGAGGCTGTTCATGGGCCCGTCCTTAAACTTGGCAAAACAAACTTCTAAACTGAGAGGAGCCTCAGATGCTTTTTGGTTTATAAAATCAAATAAATGATCTTTTATGTTATTTCTATTAAACAATGTAATAAATTAAAGATGATAATGCAAGATCATTTAATAACTCTAAACTATTACTACTAGCATTATTATTAGTGCTGCTACTAGTACTATTACTACTAATGCCACCACCACCACTATCATCACCATTTTCATTTGGACTATACAGAATAAAATGTGAAAGTCATCTTCATCTTTCCCCCTCACCCAAACCCAAATCAGAGCTAACTACTAGCAGTTTGATGTATATCCTTTAGAGCTTTTCTTTTATATTAATCTGGAATCTTCTTTACACTTACTCTTCTCATCCTATCAGCCATTGAATCCAGTGGATGCACCTTTCAAACCGCGTCTTTAATTTCCCATGTATTTTTGTTTCAAAGCCACTTTTATGGTCCAAGTCATCATCGTCTCTTACAATAGCCTAAAAGGGGCTCCCAACTTCAATTCTGTCTTCTTAACAACGCATTATCTTCACAGTGGTCCACAATGATCATTTAAAAAAGCACTTTCCTTTCAAGCCATGGAGTAGTTTTCCATTACAATTAGATTAAAACACACATCCTTAACCAGTTTATAAGACCCTGCAGGGACTGGCTCCTGTCTGTTCCTCCAGTTTCCTGCATTACCTCTTTTCTGCTTACCAACACTATTTTTATTTTTTATTTCCTTGAAGCTTTTTTCCTACTCGAGCCACATACTGTTTCCTCTCCTTGGGATGCTCTTTCCTCCCTATTCGCTTTACCTAACTAATTCCTACTCATTCTTCACATTAAAGATTACTTCTTCAGGTTTGTATTTTCTCAGGTTCACCAATCTAAATTACATTTCTCTTTTCATACTTTGAGTTTTCCACTGTAATAGTAATATCAATTATTAATAAACAATCGTTTGTGTAATTGTTTACTTAAGTAAACAATTTGTATTCCTCAGTAGACCATAAGTTCCATGAAAGCTAGGACATGGTCTCTGTCTTATTCACTTATTTGTAGGGGTTAGGGAAGGTTACTATCCAGGATAGGGCACCAGGAAAACATCTGAAGTGCTGAAAATGTTTTAGATCTTCATTTGACTTGTAGGGACAGAAAGCGTGTGATACCTTTCCTCACCTGTCATAAGGGTCACGGCTGATACTCCTATAACAAAAGACAAGTTTACAAGAGAAAAACATCAATTTATTTAATCAAAGTTTTTTTTGTGACATGGAAGCCTTCAAAAATGAAGACTCAAAGACTTGAGGGGAAACTGTTTTTGTCCTTAGATTGGGGACAGCCATGTAGAAATGTGATTGGACAAAGGGGTATCATCTAATTAATGGTGACAGACTCAGGTGAGGAACCCAGTAAGGCCTATCCATGTAAATTCTTCTTGGCTTCTCTGTGTAGCATCCTTTCCTCCTGGATATGGGGCTGGACCCCTCTGGAATGAGGGTCTTCAAAAGAGAAGGGAGAGAGTAACTTTTGTAGGTTTTAGGACTTGCTGTGGAGGAGAGGGCTTCTGGTTTCTATGACTTGCCTTGGGAAGGGAAATTCTGGTTGCTTTGACTCACTTCTGGGGAGAAAGGAGTTGGAGACAGGAGGGCAAGAGAAGGTCAGAGAGAACTTGCTTTTGAAGCCCTTCCAGTGTTCTTCAGTTCAAAGTACTCAGCATGTCAAAGTGCCATACTTATAGGGTGTCATTTTCTGAGCCCCACAGACTGATGGTTACAGAAATGATGACACTTATTTTTACATGTACATGAGTATATAAATTTGTAAAAACTCTTAAGGTTTGTGAAATGTATTATATATACATATATTATTAATATTATATATATTCAAGTAATCAAAGACATACACATTTCAAATTTGCATAGTGAGTGTCAGATTGTGCTTCAGAAACTATAACAATTTATATTCCATCAACAAATGTGAAGATACTCTTTTCCAACAATATGACAAGCAACAGGTAGTATCTCATTGATGCCCAAATTTGCTTCTTTGATTATTAGTAAAATTGAACTATGATCATATTTTCAATACATTTGGGACTTATTTCAGTATACAATATAAGGATTAAATTTATTTTTTTCATCCTGTTGTCCCAGAACCATTTATTGAATAATCTTTCCCTTCCTCTTTGATTTGTTATGCCATTAATCTTTATCATATTTTGTGATGTCAATGGCCTTGATAATATAATACATTCTTGTATATTGTAGGATCTATTTCTAAGATATCTATTCTCATCTATTCATTTGTCTCTTCATTATTGTACTAGTGCCATGCTGATTAAATTAATAGAATGTTAAAAAAGTCATCCTCATTAATCTTCTTTTTCGAATGTAAAGAGAATCCTGATGCTTTAAATGATGTCTAAAGTGGTTTTGTTAAGTTAAAAAGTACCCACTGAGATTTTAATTTGCAATTCATCTTAGGTTGGTTCCTCCTCAGGGAAACAGATGCTGAGATGGAGATTTGCATGCAGGAAGTTTATTTGGGAATCTCATGGGAATAACACCTGTAAGAGAAGAAAGAATGCAAAGGGAGAAGTAAACTGTGATGGAGTTGCAACGGAGGCTTCAGTTGATTCCATAGGGAGCTCTGAGGCTAGGATTGTTCTTCTGAATTGACTGAAATTAAACAAAAGAGCTACAGCAACCTGTTAATGGACACAAGCTACCTCCAAGAAGGTGTAGTGGGCAAGGCCAAGGGCAGTTTCTGGAGAAGGACTCAGCTACAAGCTGTCAGTAGCCAATACTCTGTCTCTGGAAATGAGTGCCCTGATCTTGAATAGGGATATGGGCAGTGCACCACAGTATCCATGTCACCATTTTTACAATCTTGCTTGCTTTTCCAGGAAAATGATTAGCTTTCCCTTCTATTCAGTATATTTTAAATAACTTCCTTAGGCTAAAAATACAAAAGAAAACAATCAGAAAAATTGATTAAATTTTCTGTGCAATGAGTAATAGATAAACAGAGCCTCAGTAGATGGGAATCATGCATTCAAATCAACAAGACACTGTAGCAGAAACAAATAACAATACTTTACTCATTATTAGTGAAAGTATAATGTGGTTCTTAGAAAGATACATCATCTATTCCTTTGTTTCCCTTTGGTTTTTCCAAACCCTTTCATCCTCCTTGAGCTATGAGTGAACTTCAAGAGCTTCCTCTCATTCTTCTTCCTCCTTAAACTCTGCATCTTTTGACATAGCTGACCATCAAACCCAACATTTGTATGTGCAGATGTCTCCTGAGCATCCCTTTCATCTCGATAGGCTCATTATTTTCCCCCCTCAAACATGCTTGTTTCATATGTTCTCTTCAGGGCCATCTCCAACTCTTTCTCATAGCCTACTTTTAGTTTGTGGTCAGGACTTGCCACGCCTACCTATGGGA